AGATCTGAGCAAATCGACGCTTTTCAGAACTTAGGATGTTAACAAGTAATTTGAGACAACCTATGCAGATCTAAGAAAACCTATTCTTCCCAGATCTTAGGATGTTAAAAAGCAATTTGAGACAATTTATGCAGATCTGAGCAAAATCTAAATTTCCCAGAGTTTAGGATGTTAATAAGTAACTTCAGGGAAGTTACACAGAGCTGAGCGGTCAGCCTATAACTCCATTTTTTACAGATTAACATCCTAAATTAAACGGTGTCAACAGAACCAAATGCAATGCTTCTGTAATTTGTGGATTTGAAAAAAAAAAACTTTATTCCTTTAAGAACTAGAAACATAATAAAAATTTTCTACTGAACAATAAATAATGTCTAATGATAAAAAAAAAAACTGAGGTATGAGCAAAACAGACTACAATTCTACAAATCAACCGATCAATGTATTCACAATTTATACATTTTATGAAAAGTTAGGGCATTTCTAGAGAGAGACACTATACTACTAAGACTGATAATCGTCCTGTGTTCATGTTTTTAAGTTTTCTTTCGGCAACATCCATTCAATCCATACATCTTTCTATAATATACTACAAAATACACATGGCTATTTCAGTCATTTTGTGTGAGCAAATTTTTTGTTTGTTCTGTAAGCTTCTTAGTTTATTTTATACTTTAGCCCAGTGTTTCCCAATCTCCGGGGTACAACCCAGTACTGGATCATTGTCTGCTGGGGTGCGAAATGTTGTACGAATATATGGTAACTGATGTTACCGCAGTAGCTTTTGGGTTGGGTTTGGGTTTTAGCCAACAGGTGTCAAATTGATCCAGTTATTCAACACAAAAATGAGTTTAAATTTAGGCTAAATCCTAATGAGCTTCATGTTATTTTAATCCTTTCACTGTATATAAGACGTACTGAACGACAATGTTATCCATCATGGCTAAATTCTCACAATATATGACATCTGAACAATTAGTAACAGAAGGTCAATCAAGACAGGTAAGCTAGTTGAATATGCAAATATGTAGAGAAAAAATGTCACAGAAAAAAAGCTCATCTGGTTCAGATGAACTGCAGTATAATTAGATGCAATGCTTCTGAGAGAACAAGAAAAACACTTGTCTATAAGATAGGTGAACTGCTAAGATGTACATGAGAGAACCAGAAAAATACATATCAATAAAGATGGGTAAATTGTCATGGATATGAATTAAAAGGAAATGGCAAATAAAGATGTGAAGCTTGGAGAAGTGAAGCAATTTGATTATTAACATTATCTGGATGGTATTGGTAATATATTTCAATAAGAACAAAATCAAAAAAAAAGAAAGATAAAAAAATGAACCTTAGAAGCTAAATGTTAAAGAAACCAAATGCCATTACCATGTAGGATAACACTGTTTGGACAGGTAAACAATGTTGAAAGTTATTATTTTCCTACAATGAAAATATATTTCCTATAGGTACTTACCTCCACTCATATAAGTTATTCTCATTCAGTGCTGCTCTCTGTATGCAAAATTTTTTTGCATGCCACAAACCTTGAAACTCCCACCTATCCCACGATTAATATGGATCCCTGCATCTTCACATTTAAATCATCATGCAACAATCCTCCACCAACAGGAGTGTGACACACCCTCCCGATGCGTGTGACTACTTCTATTCAATTCTACAAAGTATCACTTCAAGATTAGGCAGAAATTAAGCATTGGTTTTAAGTGGGAAGGAAGGGTGGAAAGTGTGAAAGGAGGTAAAGTACCTATCAGAAATACATTTTTAGTGTAAGAAAATAATAACTTCTGAAATAGTATCTTACCTCTTCTCACATAATAGCTAGAATCCCACATTGAAAAGGGGGATGGGCCAGTGTAAGAGATATGGATAAGCATCCTAAGAACATCCGTGGGGTATGAGCCCCCATTGGGAGAGGAACACATGTGGGAGACTGCACCACTTCTGTACAGGGTATACTCTTTGCCCAGTGTGTGTTGCATAACTTGGTGGAAATTGGGAGGAGCATATCCAATGAATGAGAGAAATAATCTGGGTGGTTCTGACCCCACATCCCACTGAAATCACCAGAATCACAGTCAAAGATAAGAATGAATGTAGGGTCTCCAGCCACAGATTGAATGATGGGGAAAGCTAAAACGGATGTGTCCCTTGGTGTAGGGTGGCTAGGGTTCATCTTACCATACTCGGCAGGTCAATTCCAGTCTAAAACCAGGTGGCATCAGGCATACATAATCTGACCGGTAGTAAGAGGAGGGGGTCCACACCATCTTCACCTCAAGTTGAGTAGAATGAAAGAAGAAAAATTCCATACAGATTGACTAAACAGGGCACATGTGTGCAAATCCACAACCAACATCAGTCATCCAAGAAACCAACATCCAAACAATGGTAGGAAGGGATGTGCCAATGTGGCAGTTCAAATCAAATGCAAAACCAATTGGACCAGATCCACTCTGCACAACATTTACCTCAGGTAGTGAGCCTCCCTGAGGTGAAGCACCAGAGAGACAACATTTACCCCACGCAATATCATCCTCCAGATATGACTGCACAGAAGCTGGAGTGCATGGGTGACTGGCTAGCTGTTTGAGCAACCACAGAGCTGGGGCAAAATGAACTGGATGTATGCAACATCAATTTCCAGGACTCACTGCACAGAAGTGGAATGCATGAGGCAAAAACCTATGATCAAGGTAGAATGAGGAATCATGACCAACACATGTGTGTATGTGTGAGGATTTATGTTGATTGGCCAGCTCTAATCCAAAACCAGTAACTGGGAACTGACATCCAGTGAATGTTAGAATGAGGAATCCCAATCAGAGGAGTGAATTTGTGGAATGTGCTATTGGAATGTGCTGAAGTGCATGGATGTGCAACATTCCCTTCTGGGACCCATCACACAGAAGTGGAGGCCACAATTGGGAGATCTACACCAGTAGAATACCACTGCCTTACTCTCTACTGAATGGAAGTGATCACATTCCGGAGGTTGGCTCCATGGTCCACCACCCCAGCAGCTAAGAACTGGAAAGTTGCAAGAACTCTCATAGTCTACTAGAAGAAATTTGTGGGAGAACTGTAGTGGAGAGTCTGGAGGAACACCAGAGACAGTGCAATGGGCAACCATGAAAACCATATTTTGAAAAGCAGACTGTTCCTCATTTATTCTATTTAAGAGACAGCAGGAGCAGGCAGCAATCCCTTCTGCTTTACCCATAAAAGTTCATGGGTTAGTACAGTCTGGAATGGGCATGTGGATGAAGCAAAATACTACAAAGAAAACCTACTAGCAATCTTGTGGAACACCCCACCTCAGCAATATGTCTTACTTGCCATGAGTATACATTGGGATTACCCTCCATCTGAAGTCAACTTTGGTAGGATGTTCCATACAACCCAAGTAGAATCAAACTCGAGGGCCCAACACCACTGAGGTGGAGGATCAGAAATAGCCACGTGTAATCCGCACAACATCATCCTCCAGAATGGGCCACACGAGGCTGGAGCACATGTATCTCCAGCAGACGTCCTGAGTAACCACAGTCCACAGAACATTCAGAGCTGGGACTGCACAATATCAACCTATGGGACCTACTGCATGGAGGTGAAGTGACTGAGTTACTAGGCAGCAGATAATATATGGCAGTATGACTTATGGTAGGCCATACAGTGTGGATTTTTGGAATGGATATATAAGTAGCATATCTGGACGGCAACCCTTGCCAATGAGTGTGATCCTAGACCTAAAGAGGACATGCCACTCTAAGCAAAAGTAATATATAGAAAAAGATAACTTACCAAGTCACAGTCAAATTCATTTTTGAAGGATGGCAACAGGCAGAAGATGGTACCCCGACGAGGAAGAAACAGCCACCTGCTGAAAGTAGTGGGAGATGTCATCCACATGCCTGAATAATTTTCTCCAATAGATGATGAAGGTGAGATGCTAGGGAAAAGGTTAGGTGTCATATCAGATGCAACGACACCTGGAACAAGTTGTGGGAAGAAGGAGATAATAAGCTGATAAACCCAATCTGTATGAGTAGACGGAGAAAGGTTCCAGGGAATAAAAAGGTGAGATCGGGAACCAGGGAAGGAGGCCATGCAGGCAATATAACAATGAAGAGCATGGACAGGACATAGAATTCTACCTAGATCAGGCCTAAAATAAAGGTGGGAAATGGAAAGAAGGGAAATTGGTAAAAACAAAGAATGTCCCTCATGAGCTTCT